CCACTAGCCACAAGCGAGTTTGATATGGAAAGGCATCATCAGCACCAACCAACCCGGTCAAATTGTCCACACACGTCTGCAAGACTGGTTTACAATCATCAAAGGGGCAGCTCTCATCCAATACCATCCTTACGCTAGTCCGGAGGAAAGATTGGAAATTCTTGATGGTTTGAGCTATAGCCATCTTTCGCATACGGTCCTCCGGGGAAAGAGGAGTTTTGCTTGTAGCAGGCATTATTATCAGGGCTTGAGGTGAAGTGCTAGTTGCTACGATAGCGAGCGTCTGAGTCGACACCGCTGAAGTGGGGAGTTCTGCCAACACCATCGAAGCCTCGGTAATGAAATCCGAATGAACTTCAACAACCATCTCAAGAGTTATCGATGTTGAAATTGGATCCGTGACAGTGACGATGGGCATTAACGTAATTGGTACCTCCCCTTCTTAAGTTGTAGCCCCTTCTGTCTGAACCAAAGCCTCAATCAGCTGGCTCACCTGCTGAGTAACGTGCGATCGAGGTGAAGTAGAAGCTCCCGCATGTATAGATTCCAGTAGACTAGCCCACCTGTTGAGAGCTTCAAGGGTCATGTCAGTCGTGATGAAAATTAACAAAAGAAGTGTTAACGCATAAGCAATTCTCAGGGAGCTATAAGTTTACACTTTACTATACCTGGGGTGGAAGCGGCAGCCTTGAAAACTTGTTCGCGAGAAGGACTCGAGACGTCCAGGTCTCCAACGACATATTTAGCTTCAGGAGAATGGTGGGAAGCGGATTCCCCCCGTCATAAACTTCGAATATGGCATCTACGGTGATTTCACTATCGCCGGAGTAATCAACTTGCTCTTTTTCCTCCTCTCTCTCTGCAGAAGAAATGGTGATAGCTAACTCCGCCGTTTCTGTGATTAATAATGACGTAAGTTTGAACAAATGTGAGGCGATCATATTGAACTTAATAATAAAAAGAAAAGTGAAAGAATGATTACCCTCCGAAACGATCGGTCGAGTGGCTTGAGTTGTAGATTCAGCAAAACTTGTCGATCAGTAGTGAGCGTCCGCGTCATCACCTCCGAGATCGATTGAGTTGTTTCCATTACAACAGTGATAATCTTATTTTTATTATAATTTTATACCCTCATTATCTATTTCACATGAATAAATATACCACTAATAATTATTTTTATCTTTAATTGCAAGTTAATGAAGAAATAATGAATAAAAGACCAAAAGACTCTAACTTCCTCTATTTGTAACCTTTTATTGAAGCCCAGAATCAAGCCGAGTAGCCTGTAGAAGCCGGAGAAAATCAAAAATCCAATATGAAAAGGAATTATATTCAAGATGGTTGGCCGCAAAGAAACGATGATATTTCCTAATCTGGAAGGCGAAATTTAATATATAATATATGAAAATCACCTATCTCAACAAGACGAAGCCATCTGTGAAGTCAGAATTTTGATAGGAATATCGATGCCGATATCGATGCCAGCATTGATGCCTTGTTCCTGTTCCGAATTTAAGGGCTGATTTGAGTGTCTTGAGGCTCAAGTTTGGTCCAATAGCTCTCATTCATTGCTATAGGCTATAAATAGGGGTAGAGAGTGAGGGGTTGAGGGTGTGAAAATTTTTATATCTCTATTTGGAGAGGAGGGTTACTCTTAATTGAGAAGACCTTCCAAATTTGTAACTTTTTATTACAATTAATAAAATAATTTTTTTACCACTTCATATTTTTCTTCTCTTTGTTGGATGATGAAGATGAAGATGAAGATCAATTTGGAAGTTTTTTTTATTTTCTCTTTTATTTTTTTTATTGCTTAGTAGTTTAGATTTTATTCCTTAGACAGTAAAGAGTTGGGATCTTCAAGGCTACATAAGAACAGTCTTTCAAGCCAATTAGATACATCAATCTTCAGAGCATCAATCAAGAAAAGAGAATTCTTTTGTGAAACCTATTTTATATTCTTCTCTTTTATTCCTTTAGTTGATAGTTGTATTAGGCTTTTGGGGTGTTATTTGGGATTGAGTGATTGAGAGATCTAATTTGTATTCCTCACAATTAGTAAAGCTTTTCTCCTTCTTCGCCCATGAACGTAGACTACAAGCTGAACCACGTATATCTTTGTGTTTGTATGTTCTTGATATTTTTCGTGCTCTCGTGTGATTGATATTAGTTTATTCTGGGAAATTTGTCCTAACACTTTTCAATTATAACCAAATGGAATGCAAAGAAAGTGAGTGCCACATCATCTGCCACTTTTTCTTTCTTTTCTTTTTTTATTTACTTTCTGTCATCCAAACAAAACTTTGGAAATAGAAAGTAATGAGAATGTGCCTTCGCAAGAAAGCGCTTGTAAGCGTGTAGCTTTTCTTGTGTGCACTGAGCATGCTCTCTTGTGTTGTGTAGTCTCCTTCTCATACTTAAACACGAAAGAGAAACTTGCTCTTCTAGGTCGCAGCTTACTTTAGTTGTTTTTCCCACCTCTACATTCTGACATATAAAACAAATTTTAAAAGCTTTTATGCACGTAAAATTTCTCCCGCACAAGCATTTGCTTGAACGAGAGGTAAATTTTAACATCTGTTCTGGTAGATTACGGAAACGAGGAATGTTGCTACATGATGCTGCGGTGCAGAACGAAACAATGTAGAGGCCTGCCTTACAAAATGCAGATGCGAGTCTAATTTCACCCCATCGACAAGTTACATCACCATCTGAGTATGCTCTCTGATATAAATTCAGCGGATTAGGTGCTGTTTCAAACCCTGCAGACCCATTTCAGCGTGAGGATGAGACCGCTAGTAAGTACGTAATCAAAGTGCGATTGCCATATGTGAATTATTTAGACTAGTGAATTTATAGGTTAAATTTCATTTTTCAGCTAACATAAGCTCACTTAACTTGATGAGAGACTTCAAGTCGGCTTATCAAAAATTAGTCAAAACACGCACAGCTTTCTGTAATATACCTGTGCTCTACTATTCACACACAAAGCGTCGCTCCTGTACGAGTGAATGAGGTCATAAAGGGGTGGAGAATACCGGCCTCTAGATTTTAGTAAAATATCCACAGATTTCTCTGCTCTACAAATGCTAGGCTTCTAAGGATAAAACTAGATCGCGTAATCTGTACAGCCTGCTCAAATTCACCTGCATCTTTTAGGATCTAATGGAACCAAAATTGCTAGAGAGTTTCTCAATGTGAGACCACAAGAGGTTGCCCAAAGAGAACCTAGGCCTCTCTTCCTCCATCCTGCTCCAGCTACCAACACTTCTTCCCGTCACGACCAATCCCGATACTTGATTTCTGGCGTCATTACTACCCTCGCCTGCGCTGCCGACAACTTTCCTTATCGGCGGATGGTTGTTGCTCACCTCGAGCGTAACGCCTTCCTCCCCCAACTCCTTCCTAACTAGCTCCAGCCTCTTGGGGTCCACGTCTCCCTCTCTCGACGACAATGCTGATGTGTCAGTTACGTAGAAAGTCCCGACGGCCCTCTCCCCTCTCACCGCACACTCTGCCCTAGTCAGCGACAGCCCGCCCTCTCTGAGAACCCTAGTCACATCCGATAGCAAACGCTTCCTGTTCTTTGTCAACACCTCCACCCTCAATCCCTGTACAATTCAAACAGATTAGCAGCAATACTAATGAAGAAGCCACAACAGCATACTCTCACTTACATGTGAAATTCTGCGTTCGACGGCAGCAACCAAGCACCTGGTAACCCTCTGCCGCTCGCTCTCAGTATCAAGAAACGTCCGTCCGTCCATGTGTCGGATGTAGTATTCCTGAAACGCAAGGGGTCCGTGGGAGCTGACTGCTGCATGGAACACTAGATATTGCAAATCTGTGAGAGTGCATACAGTGTCAAACAGCAGCTTTGGCCTGTCCCTGCTCCTTATGTTCACCACCGAGTACTCCCTCTCCTTCCAGCTCTCTATCGATACCTGAGTCTCCATCGAAGCTGGCGATGACGATGAAGATGACTTTCTCCTCCTCCCCTCAATTAACGCCATTTTCGTGCTGAACTGGTCGCCTTCGACAGGGGTCGGCGAGGGTCCCGCCTCGTAGTCTCGATCCTCGTGCATCAGCTGGTGAAGCCGCCTTTCCGTGTGGATCCTCCCGCGGGGGCGATAACCTCACGCTCCACTGGTCCTTGCCACTCCAAGGTGGGCACCGACAACGCTCCCTACCTGCCTCTCAATGTGGGCCAGTCTGTCAGAGTCCGCATATCGGCTCCCCAGTGCCCTCGTCTACAAGGTAGATCATGACGGCGGCACGCCGGTTGTGGGTCCAGGCCTGGCAGGACACAACATAGCAGTCAAGCTCTGCGATCACGGCTGATATCTCGGAGAGAGCCCCGCTGGTCGGTGGCAGTGGCCTCGAGGCAAGGTGTACTCCGAAGCCAGGTGCCGGGGCCCACCATCTTGCCGAGACACGTCATCACCTCGGTTGCTCTTCGACCAGATGACGATCCTGACTCCCTCTCCGGAACCAGAGACTGCAGCAAGTGTCCAAATCAGCCATCCAAAACGGGAGCTAAATGAAAATTAAAAAAATCAAAATTGCGCGAAAAAGGAAGAGGAAATAATACGTACTTGCTGGATGTACTGAATGAGGGCGGAGTCCGTTAGTTTGTTACCCAGCTGATCCGTCACATGAAACACTGCAGTCATTTCGTAAAGAATATTACCAATCCAAAATGAAATTGGAGAATTAATTAAAATGTAAAAGTTAAGTGAAAGATAAAATTAACGTCAAACTAAACCATCATTAGCAGCCGCCATCAGACGAGATGTATGATTTCGAGATGACGAGATCAAGGTCAGTGAGAACTTGCACCATCTCCAGCAGTATCCCATGCCTATTAGCGCTGTCCACCTTATTTTTATTATTATGCACAAAAAAGATTAGCCTCCACCGAATTACTCTCTCTCTCTCTCTCTCTCTCTCTCTCTCTCTCTATATATATATATATATATATATATATATATATATATATATATATATATATTATATATATATATATATATATAATATATATATATATATATATATATATATATATCATAAGTATCTGGTCTTATGTAGCGATTTTAATGAGTTTAAAGCTACGGAACAAGTGAAGGCTGACACCGCCGCAGACACGTGGCAGGTTTGGGTCAGCCAATTAAGACGGCGTCGGGTATACAGGCTCAGAGGCCCAGAAAATTCTGGCGCCACCGGCGTTTTTATAATCGTATACGCGTGCGTGGCCTCGCCTCTTTACGAGAAAGGAAAGGCTGCCGTTCAATTTTTTGAGCTCATCGTTTTGGCTATTTGCCCACGGCCTTTCCTTTTTCTCCTCCTCATGATGGGAGCTTAGCCCATTAAATTTTTGAGCTCATCGTTTTGGCTATTTGCCCTCGGCCTTTCCTTTTTCATGATGGGAGCTTAGCCCATTTTTCTTTTGTTAGTTGTTTTTACTTCCTTGGAAATGATGCAGCCAACTTTTTGCACATGACCCCCTTCGCCTATGTAAGCACTCTTCAACGCAGGGATAAATTGCACACTAACAGTTCTTAACAGTACGAACAACTAATTTCCATCTATCCAAAATTATATTATCCATAACTTCTGTATTTGGTACATTTACTTCCTTACTCCCTATTTAATATTTAGGCCTTTCCTGACGCAGCGCGGAGAAGTGATAACATCGGAATCCACCAGGGGTGTTCTCTGATCCACAAAGAACGATCTTCGAATCCACGAAGAACTTCGAATCCACGAAGAAATATTGAGGAAAAACGAAATTTTATTAATCAAAAGTTATGCCTCTAGAGCTTACAAGACTCTTATTAAATAGAAAAAAAAAACAAGACTCCTACAACGACTCAAACTCTACCAAAAATAGTAAAAGAATTCATAAAATATTAAAACTCCTAAAAAGACTCCTTATTACTAGGAAAGTCCACCAGTCAAATCTGAGATCAAATCAGATTTGTTTCCTAAACAAAACAGACTCTTAAAATATTACTAAAAATAGTAAAAAACGGACAAAAATGCTAATATCTCTCAAACCGTAAGGAATTTAGCGAAACGGAAAACACAAACCGAACCAGCTAAGCAATTATGTGAAGATAATAATACCAAGAGTTCAGAGAGGTTCTACTGTTTCATTTAGTGGATCTCAGCAATTTTCGAATAGATGGCTCTTTTTATTAAAAATAATCGTTTTTATCACGAGGGGATATTCGAAGGTCCCAGTTTAGCAAGAAAACAATGCAGGGACTGTCGACCAAAATTACTCTTATTGAGAGGGACTAGTTATCTAATTGCTGACCTAACAGAAAAATAATCAAGATTAACTACCAAAACATTTAGCTACATGAAAAGCTTAGAAGAAAAGGAAATATATAAAACAGGATCGGAGTGGAATCCAACCCAACAAAATATAGAAGAACACCGGAAATTTAAAAAAAAAAAAACCTCCGACTCCCAATCAACCACGTGAACGAAACTATTGCATTTGTCGTCAACCGCCATCATCTTAATATTTAAATAAACTAAAATAGGAAAAGGTTAAGAAGGAAATAATGCACCTTTACAAGTGTGCAGCCATCGCAGGTGTCGTTATCTATACAAACTCTGCAGTTTTTTAACCATCGTCAACAACCAACAATAAAATCATCAAGTAATGCTATTCGAATAGAAAATATATAAAATAAAAAAGGTATTAAAATAAAAAAAAAAAGAATACCGAATACCTTGGTTGAAGAATCCTCTCAAATTGCGAATCGAAGTCCGGGTCAAAATACGCACAACCGCGAGCTCCCATCCTTCTAATGAGAAAAATTAGTTAGAAAATAAGGAGAAAAATAAACCATCCCAGGAATTAAGAAAGAGATGCGACGTGAGAATTTCCTTTCCTTTTTCTTTTTTTTTTTAAAGAAAAATAATCTGGAAACAGAAATAACGGACTTATCACCAGATAAAGATGCGATCTTGAAATTGTTAACTGAACACTCCAAAATTTGTCTAACAAGTAAATGAAAGATGGGGAAAAACACAAATCGAAAAAAATATAATAAACAAATCGAGATGGGGACGATATGATCGAATTGGTTACCTTTTGAGACAAAAAAGATCACATCCACCGTAATTAGACCCAACGAGATCAACTAAACAAGACTAACAATTAAGAACTCAAGAGAGGGGCGACGATAGGAGGAGCCACCAAGAAGATGGAACAGAGAGAGGACCACGAGCTCGTCACGTGCGCCCTTCTCTTCCTCTCAATTACTGTTTTTTTTTATTTTTTGCCAAAAATGGAAGGAAGAGGAAGAGGGGGATCTATTTATAACCCCCCCGAATAAGGATCCCTAAACAGGAAGGGTGCGCTTAAATTCGTTTCCTTTATACAAAGCAGCTCGAGAGTCGAGACTCGGGAGGAATCGGAATGTGTCTTTTCGGTTCCGAATAGAATCTCCTCTGTTACCAAGTCATATCATGAATCTTCACCCTACGCAATCAAGGACTATCAAGAGACGTTTGTTTCGGAATTAAAATTCACCAGAAATCCTCACCATAAACATAAATAATTAAATAAAAAGAATTTTGAGCCATTCACGGGGGGCGGAGAGAGGTTAGGGATTGGTTTGTGGTTCCAATCAGCCCACCCGTATGGATATTTTTGATAGGGTTTTATTTTTCGTTAGGGAAATAATAATTGTACTATAAATTTTATATTATTTTTTAGTATCACTAACAAGTATGTGCGATCATTTCTTAAAAATTGTCAAATTTAAACATTAATTCATGGAAACACTAATTACATAAACCTAACCCTAATTAATCCAATCAACCTAACCTTAATTAATCAAATAAACCTAAACCTAATTAATCGAACAAACCTAACACTAACCATGCTAGGGGTACGCTAGTTACCCTAATCCGACGCTTACTCATTAAAACACTAGTTACATATATTTTTAATTCCAAATTTAAATATTAATTCATGGACCTAACCGTAACCCTAGCTATATCTAACACTAATTACATATATTTTCTAATTAGGATAATAACTCTAATATGAGCCTAGCCCTCATCTATTGGGATACTAATTACTTTATCTTGTTAAACCAAAAAAGTGAAATATTAATTACTAAACCTAGTTCTAATTACCCAAAATATGCTAATTACCTTGCTAAGCCTAGCGTCAATAATTACTATACTCTTAGTTAATCAAATTAGGCTAATTACCATAACATTCCTTGTGACATTAGACTAATTACTCTAATAATATAATAATATTATGAAGACTTACTTTTGCCCTAATAACTCTAATACACTAATGACACTAAATAAAACTAACTTTAACCCTACTTACCCAATCAACTATATATATGTGCTATATATGTGTTTTATAAGTTTGTTTGTGATGTGTAAAAGCATGATTTAATCAAACAATGTTTTTCAAAGTTAATATGATATATAGCACAAAAATGCGTTACATATATCCAACGAAGACCGGGGAATAAAAAATTAATGTTATCCGTAGACTCTCGTCCAATGATTATTGTTAATCGTTTGCATTTGTAATATAAGATGTACGACTCATTTTGGATATGAAATTATGTTTTTTATCTAGAAAAGATCGTGTATGTAATGTTATAAGTAGAAGATGATGGGCATTTGAAATCGTAATTAATGGACCTGTCCAGTTCGGACGGGTTAGGAAAATAGGTATTTAGGTTTCATGAAAATCTTTGTGCGTAATCGAGCTCGTCCAGAGGGTTCAATTGCTAAAAGTTATATAGCCAATACCTTCAATTTGCATCTTGTTATATGCGGAGTGGAAAAATAACACATCAAGCCCCAGTGAAGAAGAATAAAATTGTTGTTTATCCCAGATTTGAGTTGGATCAAGCTCATGTATTTATACTAGAAAATCTTAAAATGTTCAAAGTCTATCGAAGGTACATATGTAAAATTTTAAATTACTTAATTTTAATTTGCCAATCTAATCTCTGTTTCTATTAATATTAGAAGATATCTACAAAAGCTTAATAATGAAATAACTCGTAGAAAAGCAGCACATGATATTAAAAAAAGCATAGGAAGGATATCTCGGATTGGGTTAGGAATGAAGTATGTGTTTTTAAATTTTAATTTTCTAAACATCTTATAGTCTAAGGGGGTGTTTGGTTCAATTTTTATAAATTATAAGAAATGTTTTCCAGCCAAAATATGATTTCCTAGTATTTCTTAAAAAAATTATAGGAAAAGTTTTGAGAAGTCAAAAAGTATTAATTTTATTGTTTTTTTTACTTTGCTTGTTTGGTTCAAAACAAAAAAATATCCCATAACTTTATAGCAAATAGTAATATTTTCTATAATTTATAGAAATTGAACCAAACACCCTCTAAATTTATAGAAAAGTGTCAACTTTATAGAAAAATGTTAATGTGGTGTCAGATTTCTAGGTGATTTCTGCCCATTTTGATAGGAAATTAATTTCTGTAAACCTTGGTATTTTTTATACTTTACAAAAAATATTTTTATAAATTTTATTTGAACCAAACACAATTTACGAAAATCTATAGAAAATTTTTAATTATAAAATTACCATTATCAGACATTTTGATAAAACTTTTCTATAAAATTGTGCAACCAAACACCCCCTAAGTTAAACTATTAAATGTGATTGATGCATGTTTGGTTTAGATCGAAAAAAGAGCTTCTCAACCATACCATAGTATTAGAAGAAATGTAGGTTCACACATAACGTCCTTACTACGAAGTAAAATAATAAAAAAAATATTATGTTAATGGATATAAATTTAGAACGCTAGAGAATAACGAGAATAGAGTAAACTAGAACTGTGGTGTCATGGGATACTTCGCTTAAGATTGTTTTTCAAACACAAGAGATCAAAATCTCGTTGAAGCTGACATACTATATATGGGCAATTGGAAGATATTGTGGAGATACATTACGGATATGGTAAAGAAAGCCAATGTAGCTACATGATATTTAAGGTCTAGTGGTCTCCTACAAAGCCACGCCCGGATCATTATGAGTTTATACTTGTTAACCTTCATAAAGAAGTTTATCTAGATTAGAAGTTTATCTTTGTAGAACGAGCGGATCAATGTTTCTTTGTGAAAGATCCTAAGGTTGCAACTAACTGGGCTGCTTTGTACAAAGAGCTAAGTCCTCTTGTTCTTCCTAATGATAACAAAGAAGCTGATGAGACCGAAGGAGATAATAGCAATGAATCTACTAATTCATTTGATGATGTTTGACAAAACTACTCATATCCCCAGAATGTCATGCTTAGAATGTCTGATTCTGAGACTCGGACTAACATTCCAATTTTAATTGAAGGTAATTATTCTGGCTCAAAGTCTAGGAGCAAAGAGAAAAAATAAAAGCACATAGAAAATTTAGCCAAAATGATACAGACGCAATCCCGTACAAGACATAAAGAGCAAGATGTAGTAGGTATGTGATATTAAATTGTTTTAAAGTTAGAATACGAGAAGTGAAATTAAATTGGTAACAAATATTTGTTATGAGCATTTACACATTTCTTGTTATGCATTTTAATAACTTAATTAAAATTGCATATGAGAGGTAAGAGACATTTTGGGGAGGGGTGTGATCGATCATGATCTATGACCCCAGGTAACAGATCTGAGGAGACATTTCCACCACAGTCTCCTCATATAGGTAAATTATATTTTTAATTTTTATGTTTTATTATTCATGATATTTGTTTGCTTTAATATCTTCAATTGTTCAGGTGATCAATCATGGTCAGTGACTCTAGGGTCTGATCGTTATGTACTAGGATCCTCTATAGAACCATCAACACCATCTCCTCACATTGGTAAGCAATATTTATATTGCATAGTTTTTAGTAATGTAATGTTTTTGTATTGACTATTATCTTTAATTTTGTAAGTAGTTCCTCGACACCATCTTTTACTTATGATGAGCCGTCGACCATTTTCCGGCCACTTACACCTGATATTTCATGTCTCCCATTATCGCTAGATGCATTTCAATATAATGCTAGATCTGACAAGCTTAATCCACATGCAACTAGAAAATTATTAGAGTGGGGTGATTTGATAAAGACTAGAAAAGATAATGCAATTACAACGAAAGATAGAGAGATTGAGAAGGGTAAATTTAATAAATCTATTTTTGTACATTTAAAATTTTAAAGTTATTAATATTTCTTCTCATTGTCTTAGCAAGTGAGCTTCCACCCAAGAAGAAAGGACGCGATGCGAACAAGCCTAAAACAAAGGAAACACCAAAAGGACAAGGAGTTGTTCTTGACTGGAGTAGAGTAGAGGTGCCAAACAATACTTGGGCCACTAAACTTAATAACTATATTGGAGTTTTAGTACGGAGAGCAAATATTTGCACCCATTCTTTACCTACGTCGAGCTTCCATAGTTAGCCTTCATTGAAACATGGGAGAAGCTCATGGTATATTATTATTAATTTACTCTTTTATTTATATTTTTGTTGTGTATGTTAGTTACATGTATGTAAATTTGTAGAAAATGCTATTGCCTTGAGGACCATCTCAATGGATGAAACTATGTTTTTGGACTCGATGGGAAAGTTCCAGCTATATTCAAACAATGGAGACATAAACTGAAGCATAATGTATGCAAAAAATATGTACATGATTAGCAAAGGTTTTATGTTCTCGATCCTAGGGTGGATCAATATCATTTCATAGTGCTTCTCATCTACTACGAAAATAAGACAACATAAATAAGATAATAATTTTGTTAATTTTAACATTGTACCTTTATTATATGTATTTCTAAAAAAAATTCCACAAGCAACAACTTTCAATGGACATGCTAATTGGATATGCCACAAGTATGACCACCAAACAGGTTCACAATCGTATGCTACTATCGATGGTCAATATTGATGATCTACGATATAGAGTATTTAAAGTTTAGTATTCTTTAAAACATTTATTACAACAACTTCTAATAGCTTTGTAATTTCGCAGGGCAAAGCCTTCATATTGGTCAATAAAACTTATGGTACCTTCAAGAGTACATATGATAAGAAAGCCAAGAATAAGGACAACCTCGAGTTCATGGTAATGATTCTATTCCACATATGAAATTGCCATTTAGTCCATCTTATTAATTCTTTCAATCAATCTTTCCATTAGTTATTCTGGCTAATTGCTAACTAACTTTGGTTGAGCTAGTTCTTAGGTTGAAATAACTTAGACAAAGGAATATAACTAGTGTATGATTAATGTTTGTTCCCATGACTACTAGTGACTAGATTCTTAGATAATAATATGTTGGTATAGAGAAACATTT